ATTCTGCAAAAATAAACCACTCTCAAAAGAGGTTTCCATACATACCTAAGCTAGAGATAATTATGTTGAAAGAGAAAAAGGACGTAGAATGGGTTTCAAATGTCCCTGTTGTATAATTTGGGAAAGTCATTATTAAATAATACAAAAAATAAAGCACTTTTCTCATATACAAAGGGGTAGCCATGGTGCTATAGTTTTAAATTATTATGGATAAATGAATCTGTGTGTATGACAATGGTATATATCCATATATAAAGACTATATATATATTCATAATACAACTCATATGTACAATTATCAGTCAGTTCTAGCAAGTGAGGATTCAATTTAATCAAGGCCATTTCTGTTGGGAGCACAGCTCTCCTAAGGAAGCCATTAAGACACATTTGATGGAAAACAGCTGTAGAATGGAATTAAAAACGGAATCTTAAAACTCCCAAAGTATCCCATTGTTTACATCAAGTCAGCCTACAGAGGTAAATTAGCTTGCATTCATCCCATGCACGTGCAGAGAGAAATGCACCAGAGGTGCCATGCAGGCCCTGTTTGCAGTGGAAGGAAACGGATCAAGGTGCCCGTGTGGCTTAAGATAGTGCAGATGATCTGTGCAGTAGCTGTGGAAGAACTCCTATGCTGCCAGTACAGTTTCCGTTAAACAAATGGCTTGCTGTCCCCTCAGACGCTCACTGTATGGTGGAGGAAAATATTAGGTGGACCCAGACTGGCTTAGTGGGAACTAATGAAAGTATCTTAATTGACAAGCGTCTAAGCAATGGACTTTGTGCAGTATGGCCTAGGAAGCCGAAGGAAGGAAGAGAGAAGGTAGCAGACATTGCATCCTTACTGGAGTTAACTATTATCATTTATTGAGGGTCATCAAATTCCCAAAGAACACAGCGTAGTGACAGTTTGGTTAGGAGCATGAGTCTCTGTGGAAAACCCTCAGATCTCTCAACTGGAACTGGGGAATGTTGTTACGCATTGCCACGTAAGATCCCTGACACAGCACACCACGCAAGAGCTATCTAAACCCTGCTCCAGACGAATAATATCAGCCCTGATAAGACCTGTTGTTAATTTCATCTATTTATGTGTTGTTTTGGCTTTAAATGATTTGAGTTGCTAAACTGTTACTGATGTCAATGAATTGTTAAATCAATGATGACTAATATACTTGACTGTAAATTCAATGCCTTTCTTCATTTTTTCATTCAGTTTTCCTGCTGAATAAATGCATACATTTTACCAAGCATTAGATATTGTTCAAGGTACCGGAACAATGGGTAGCAAACATTGTATCTGTAGGAAGGCCCCATTTAGCATCATTGGCAGAGGCCCAGGAAATCTCAAATTGCTAAGGCTTCCAGAAAATGTATATGTATCAGTTTTGGGGTTTAGTTCTCAGCTTCAGTGTTTCATAATGAAGACTGTAAATGTTTGAAATACCATTGGTATTAGGAAAGTAGAGTATACAGGAAGCCAGATCCAGGGCATAAGCAATGTGCACTTTCGTCTCAGCTACAGAATGGGATGCCTTCCAGCAAGATGCTCTCAGTCACAGGATCTGGCAAAAATGGTACATTAGAGCCCCCTAGCCCCTACACTGGATGCCAGCAGAGGGCAGTGCTGTAGAAGATTATTTTGAATTAAGCCTGTGCTCTGAGGTTCTGGGCAAATCAGTCAAACCCAGGGGACATCGTTTTCATTATTGTAAAGTGATTGTGCCAGATGTAGTGTTCTAATTTGCCTTTTTGTGCTGTAGATTTCTGGTTTTATTTGATGACCTATCTAATTAAACCCACTATATTTCTCATGACTCATAGATCTCATAATGTATAAGTGTACTTGAGGTTGTTATCTGGGGAACAGGATGACCCAGGGGGATTGAACCCAGGCTTCTTATGTGCCTGTTATATCACAGAGCTCAACCCTCGGCCCCACAGTTCTTTTCACTAAACTTGTCTTACCTCAGTTGAAATGGTCATGAGTACTTTCACTTAGCTTTTTTTGTATGGCTGGTTGACCATGGCAAGAAACAAAAGGACAGGGGAATTAAGGAAAGAGAACCTTGGAACTGAATTAAAGAAATAGGTTGCTTTTCCTAAGTAGCAAGAAAATGGATTCTGAATGATTCTCAAGGGACTTCCGGAACAGATGAGTAGTGGGGTGCAGCAAAGCTGGGACAAGTAGAGCACCTCCAAGGGTAACCTGAAACCACCATATCTTAAAAGAAACAAACTTTATGTTAAAAAAAAACATATCAGTCTAAGCAGAAGTAACACAGCCTTGCTAAGCAGTAGCCCCAGAAAGGTTATATGATGGTTGCATATTGAGCATGTGGAAAAATAAATACAAAAGATAATTTTAAAGGAATCCAGTGATGAAATAAAGGAAAACAATGTGAGGTCACAATCATGGCTACTAGCAGTGTAAAAAGATAATGAAGACAATAAGACATAAAGAATGGTTATAGCTACTGATAGGCTTATGGATAGGGCTTGTCTTTGTCTTCAGGTATTTAAGAAATCATTTTCTCTACACCATGTGTATCCTGCAGGTCTTGGTTTCCTCATTCTTGGCAATTAAATAAATGGAAGAATATGGAGATAGTATGGACCTCTTGAACCTCATTGCCCATTGTTTTCCCCTTGGGAGATGGGTTTTGCACACAGGCAGAGGTTACCTAAGGTGCTAGAGGTGTCTCCTTTTGACCACCTTTTGTATAATCCTCTATCCTGGCAGAGGACCATGGAAGCCTAACATAAGGTAATTTCAAACCATTCCCTTTGATTTTCCAAAACTGGGTCCAGCTGCAGACTGGTACAGTCTAAGCATCAGTGCTTTGACCATCACTAAGTTTGTAATAGAGCCAGATGGAGTTACAGTAATAATATTTTCCTCTTGATTTTATGTTCTCAGGACCCAACACTTTCCAATTCTTAAGGATGTAGTATAGTGCAGCATTTGAGCAAACTGAAGATAAATTCCCCATGATTCTAAAGGGAGATAAAAGAAAGGGACCTTGGGGAAGAAGGTGTCCCTCTTGCCCACATGCAGAGTCCTACAAATATTCTAATAGCGCTGGGGTGTTCCCTCTTCTACCACACTACCAGGCATCTCTGGTGGTCCTCTGGGTGCAGCCTATAGTAGGGTAACCAACACTAAATTGAGCTCCTGGTGCTTCTGGGCTTTCTCCCCCCTCCCCACTGGGGTTTGAACCAACCATTTGTGCTGCTCAATACTGGGCTATAAGTCCCTATAATGAGCATCTCAGAACTTATTTCTTTGACCTCAGTGAAGCAATACCTCTGCCTCGAGTATCCTCAAAAGAAAGAGTGAGTTTTTGGGTTGCAGATCCAGGGAACAGGCTTGCTTACATGATAGCTCTAGCCCTCTTATCCAGGTTGCCATCCTGATTAAAGAGAAAATAAGCAGCTTTATCTTATGGTGTTTACTTATTTTTTAGTAATCACATGCTCGGGGGAATGTCTTACCACCTATTAAGATTAAACCATGCCTTCAGGCATGGAACTGTCTACAATAAACAAAGAAAAGATGAGAGTGTGTAGGATGTGCAAGCCGGAAGGAAACAATGCATGGGAACAAGGGGATCAAGAGATTGTGGTGGAAAGTCACTAGCGTGGTGACCTGACCTACCAGATAATGTGCATACCTGTACAACTCCTAGACAGCTGTTAACCTAGTCTCCCGCCCCACAAGCTAGGCATTGCCTTGCCATCTCATTCTTCAGCATCTGGGCCCATTAGACTGTAACTTCAGACTTTCAAGCCCTGTCCTCACCAGGGATGGTCTAGGTCCCTGGCAAGAGGAACACACAAAACCACTGAGCGTCAGGATCCTGGGGTAAAGTGGGCCCCTGCATTGCATCAGCACGTCCCACTCAGCACCTCTTCCTGATCTTGGATACAGTCCTCCCTCCCTTTTGGCCATGGGTCTCACTGAGACATGGGTGAGGCCTGAAAGCAGGAGTGTCTCACAGAGAGTATCTTGGTGCACAAAGGGCTTGGGCATGAGCTGTCTTCCTATATTCTGTGCATTTGGTTCTCATATTTAGAGTGTAATGACTACTGACATAAATCGCTAATGCTGCTATTTGTATATAAAGCTAAATTAAATGAAGAAAATTAAAGCTTTTTAGCTCCAAGTCCCTAATGCTTTGAATCTTTACCCATCGATTTAATTTAGCTCAGGAATTCTAAAGTTCTTCCTTTTAATAGAGAGGAAAGTAGTTAAAGAAAGACTGTCATCTTTTCCCCAACTTGCCTTTATGTAACAATCCTATGCAAGAAAAGCACAAAACCAAGTACAATGAGGGCAGGTGAGGCAATAGGGAGTCCTTTATGCTCTCTTTAACATGGTCGTGGCTGAGGGGCTCATACTGTGTTCATCTGTAGCTCTGTTTAAAGGCTGTGCAGTTGCTGTTAACATTTGGGTTCTTTCTTTTGTTTTTTGTTTTCATATGAGGTTACTAAATAGTGACTAGAGTTAGTAGGAAATAATCAGTCACTTTTGGAACAATAACTTTTCCTAGTTCGTCTGATGGGATACTCAAAAGTTGGGATTGCTTCTGAAAGCCGTGGGAGCCTGGGGAGATGATTCTATGGTTAAGAGCTGTCTTGCTTATTTTTCTATTGCTGTGACCAAGCAGCGTGACCAAGGCAACTTACAAAAACAAAACAAACAAACAAAAAACAGCTTATTGGTATTTGAGGTGTGGTGATAGCTTGGTTGCACAAATAAAGCCTGTCTGAAGGTCAGAGAATGGAGTTTGCCACTAGCTAACCATAGAGATCTGGAAGTCTGTACAGAATATAAACAGGGAGAAACAGGAACTTGCTCTTTGTCTGCTGAGATGCTAAGGAGGTAAGGTGTGGCTGTGGCTTGCTCCTTCTCTCTGATCTTTCAGCATTTTCTTCTATATCTGACTCTGGGTGCATTTTTATTATCCAGACCAATTGAGAACTCCATTTATATCTTGGCAGCCAACGTGGGGTTCCAACCCACAACACTGAGATTAAGAGTCTCATGCTCTACCAACTGAGCTAGCCAGGCTTTCTCTCTCCTCTTTCTTTCCTCTCTCAAGCCTACACATATTTTTAAACATACTGTATATCATTTAGAGGTTTTGTTCTTCTGAATCTGCCTTTATTTTATATCTCTGTCTTTTTCTGACCACATGAATCTTTAATCTGCTAAACAGCTTGGCTAAAATTTAAGTGGCAGCTGGCCCCACCCTATTCCTTGGCTTTCTGAGAGCAGTTTCATGGCAGAGTACTGGTGGGAGCTATCTTATTGCCACAACCCTGTGGAGTTTCTAGGTTCATGCATCACCAAGAAGCATACCACCGGCTGCTTATAAATACCATTTAATTGTTTGGTAGCAGGGCCTCTTAAAAGAGCCTTGCGGTTTTTGCTACTAACACTGAGTCAGGAAGCTTCTCTCAAAGAGCTGCAAGCCACTGCTTGCCTCTAGCAAACAGAGCCCACCTGAGAAAATTCTGCTACCCAGAAGCCTTGCTTGACTTTGTTCTTTTGTTTTTAGGATTCCTTTTTAAGCATTTGTCAGGTTTTATGTGGAAATTCTTGCCTCACACTGGGGGTGCCATTTGTTGACAGAATTTCTGTCCTGCCCTGTCCCATAGCCTGTTAGTCCCAAATAAGCACACAGAGTTTTATATATTAATTGTAAACTGTTTGGCCAATGGCTCAGACTACTTATTGGATAGCTCTCTCTTAATTATTAACCCATTTCTATTAGACTATGTATTGCCATGAGGCTGTGGCTTGCCCAAAATGCTCTGGCATATTACCCTTCAGCAGTTACATGGTGTCTCTCCCAAGACTTTCTCTATTCCTGTTCCCAGCATTCCTAATCTGGTAGCCCCACCTATGTTTCTTGCCTGGCTACTGGGCAATCAGCATTTATTCACCAACCAATAAGAGAAACATATATTCACAGCATATAGGACATCCCCCATCATTGAGGCTTATGGTTCCAGAGGGTGAGTCCAAGATGGTAATAGTGGGAAACATGGTAGCAAGGAAACAAATGTGGTGTTAGAGGAGTAGCTAAGAGTTCACATTTGATTCACAAACACAAGACAGAAAGGGATACTGGGAAATGGTGTGGGCTTGAAACTTCAAAGCCTGCCCACCATGACATACCGCCTCCAACAAGGCCACACCTCCTAATCCTTCCCAAACAGATACACCAATGAAGATTCAGTATTCAAACACATGAGCCTTGTGGGGGCTATTCTTATTCAAGTCACCACAAGAGCACTTGCTGCTCTTGCAGAAGACCCAAGTTAGGTTCCCATTATCCATGCTGGGAAACTCATGTCTACCTGTCATTCCAGATCCAAGGTCCACAATGCCATCTTCTGGACTCTGTAGGTACCTGAACTAATGTACGAATAACCCTTGACACTGTATGTATATGCATATGTATGTATGTATGTATGTATGTATGTATGTATGTATACATACACATAATTAAAAATGAATCTCAAAGAAATGTGCATTATCACTGTCCTTTGTTTGCTTGGCATTTTGTTTATTTTTTTCTCAGATGAGAATGAATAATGTCTTTTCCTGGGAGACACTCTATGTTCCCCTAGGAACTATTCCATCACCATTTTCAAATTATGTGTCATCTCATCATATATTCCCACAGGTAAAAGAGCTATCCAAGTTAACCTCTAGCTTTGAGGGTTCAGCTTGGTGATCTTGTCCCTAGACTTGCCAGTACTGAGGCAACAATAGACAAAACATGACTTATTCGTGGTGAACAGGAGACAGTTTGTAAAGAAAGTATGTGTAGACAGCCAAGCAGAACAGGAAATGAATCACACAGGCCATAGCAAGTCATTGACAGATGAGTTACTGCTTGCATACCACACTGTATGAGATCCTCTTCCCCAGAAATAGAACTAGAAAGTCATTTCCACGCCTACTGAACACTCTCCTTTGCTGCCCCAAAGTCAGATCCAGGAACTTTTGCTCTTTGGGGAAAAGAGAAAGTTCTAATGGCTTCCAATAATAAAAATGTGAAGTTCTGCTTTTTAAATATATGTTGTGCTTCTTTTCTGCCCCCTTCAGTACAACACACGATTAAATTAAATTGCTGTGATGAATAGGCAGGAAGCTTGCCCTGTGTAGGGGACAGGAGTGTGTTCTCAAGGGTAACTGTAGCCGAGCAGTTGTGCACTGCTTAGCTCCTCTGATGGCTTCTTTGGTTTAAAACCATCTAACAGATTAGGGAGACCACTGTTCCACCTTCAGAGAGGGTTATTAATTTGTAAATGTGGTGTTGAAGGTGTGTGGACTCTGACTAGAGCAAGTAACTATCACTGACTTATTTGGGCTATAACAGGCTTCTGTTTGCTCATTCTGCTAGTGAATACTCATTCTCCCATGGCCAGAATGAGGTGTCACTAATCATTTGTTCTTAATCATTATTTTTAGTTTTCTTACTAAACAGTGGGCTTCATTCTGACATTTTCCCATGTGAGTATTACTGTACACGGCTCATCATCACCTTTTTGTCCTCAGGAGAGGCCTCTACTCTTTGTCCTCCACACTCCCTCTGTGCAACTCACCATCTTTGATTTTTGCACAGGATAGTATGGGCCTGAGCCCCTGAACAGCATGGCTCTACTCTACCCATGTCTGCCTGCCTGTCCTTTTCAGGGGCGTGCAGTGGTGCCAGCAGTGGCTAGGGCTGACCTGCAGGGCAGGGGCACACTGCGCTGTGGTGTTCGGGACACACGTCTTGGTTCTGCAGTTGAAATGTCTAGTGTCTGTGGAGTGAAGGTCAAGAGTGATATCATAGCCTTAGTCATTAGCTTGGCTGCATGCTGCTGAGTGTGTCTATCGGGTCAGTGCCTTGCGCTTTCCTGACAGCCACTCAAGGATGATAAGGAATGACAGGGTCTCTCTGCCCTGTTCAGCCTGGTAGAAAAAGCAGTGCTGGCAAGCACACACTTCCTCTTAAAATACGCAAAGCACTGTAGTAAGAAAAATAGCAAGTCGAGGTTTTCAGAAAAATATCCATCATTTGTAAGCATCCACTCCCTCCCTGGGAGCCTTTCTACCTGAAGCCTTTATTTTTGTCTTTTTCTCTGCTCTCTCTTAGCTTCATCTCCTTCTTTATTATTTTGTTACAGGTCGATAACTCAACGTCTTTTGTCTCAGGTGGGAAGTTAAGGTGGAGAATATTGATCTAGGGTTTTTTGTCGGTAGATGTCAACAGCTGCTTTCTGCTCACAAGCTTGCAAAGATACATGTCTCATTCATTGTTCAGTGACCACTCTGCTCCACAGAGAGCAAGAAAATAAAACCACTATTCTTTTGGGAGACAATCACCAATGGCATGTGTGCATGTGCGTGTGTGTGTGTCTGTATCTGTGTGTGTGTGTGTGTGTGTGTGCAATCTTTATCCATTTATGCTTTAATTCCTGTGTCTGCAGACTTATTCTTCTACTGCAGGAGCCCTGCTTCCTACCCCACCTCCATTCCCTGGCAACTCTGCCTTTTCATGCTGACCCCGCTTAGCTCTTCCCACCAGTCTTCTCATACTTCCCTTCTAGCCCATCTGTATTCCTTTGTGTAAGCCACCTAGCCACACACACATAAAAAAAAACACTTTCCACCAGAGATCTTCAGTGACACACTGGGCTTCAGGCACATAGGCAATTTTCACTAACCTTCCTGTCCTCCTTTCTATCTCTCCAGACTTACTGTTAGTCCTGTAGCAGCCTACCTGCAGGGTCCCCTCCTCCCACCCTACCTCAATTTCCTAGGAACTCTGCCTCTTGCTGAGAATCCAGGATCTCCCTCCTCTTCTCTGTGGTCCCTCTGAGCCTTTTCTTGTATCCTAAGTCCGTTCCTTTGTGTCACCCACAGAATACAGAGGGGACAATAGCAACCAAAGAATGGTACACCCACCCAACAATGATAAGACCAGATACCTACAGCAAGGAATACCTCAAACATCAAAACACCAGATGCCTAGATCCCAGCTCAAAAACACAAACATGAGCAGCCAAGACAATATGCCTCCTCTGGAAAAACAATAACCCTATTGCAACAGGCCCTGAGGTATGCAATGTAGCTCAAGCATACAAGACAAGGACTTCAAAATAGGCTTCATTATTATGTAATAAGAACAAATCCCTTAACAACGTCTGTGAAAGCACAAACAGTGCAATTTCAAAACATGAAAATAGGACATCTCAAAGCATGAAAGTGGAAATAGGATCATCAAGAATACTTAAACTAAAATAAAACTGAAAATGAAAAACTTAGGATGTCAAGCATAACCCTCGGAAGTAAGCCTTACTACCAGAATGCAAAAATTGCAAGAAAGAATTTCAATTCTTGAAGACAAGGTAGAAGAAATACCTCGGTCAAAAAAAACACAAATCCAGTCACAAAATATCCATCAACTCTGGGACATTATGGAAAAACCAAACCTACAAATAATAGGGCTAGAGTGAAGAGAAGAAACTCAGGTCAAAGGCACAGAAAAATATCTTTTAGCAAAATTATAAAAGAAAATTTCCCCAATCTAAAGAAGGAGGTGTCTATTAAAATACAAGAAGCAGACAGAACACAACATAGAGCCAGAAAAGAAATTTCCCATGACACATAGTAATCAAAACACTAAATGTGCAGAACAAAGAAAGGATATTAAAGACTGTAAAGAAGAAATACCAAGTCACACATAAATGCAGGCTATTAGAATAGCAGCAGACTTCTGGATGGAGACTCTAAAAGCCAGAATGGCCTGTACAGGTGTTCTACAAACTCTGAGAGTCTGCAGATGTCAGCCCAAACAACTATACCCAAGAAAACTATCACTCACAGTTGATGGAGATAGAGAAATATTTCATGATTAAAGCAAATGTAAGCAATTATTACTAACCAGTTCAGGTCCACACCTGGCACTAGAAGCAAAACTTCATTCTAAAAAGGTTAGCCACACCCAAGAAGACACAAGTAATAAATAAACATACAACAGTATACCAAAATATGGAGGAAGCCAGCCTG